GGAATACTATCTTCTTCTGTCCAAACCAGACCTCCTGTTACTTTCTGAAACTGATATTAACGCTTCAAACGCAAAAGGGGCTACTCGCCTCTTATAGTTAAACACTACCAGCTAAATCGTCACGGCCACGGACTACATCAAGGACGAGTTTCCCTGTGGTTGAGGCACAAAGAATGAGGAAGCCGATCTCCCGTATCTGTGCTTCCGCGTAGTGCTTATCCATAGTACCACCTCTGTCTTTACTTTCTATCACCCTCAAGACGAAGGGACGGTAATTTACCGAATATCTGAATTTTTGTAGAGGTATATAGTCAATATCCACCATAAAGAGTTTTAGTCCAATATATTGTTTAAAACTGATATTGAAGGTAGATATTGCAGAGACTTCTCCATCACCTATGAACTAACACATCGGAGAACCTGTTTGTATTTTAAAATGAAGTGCAGCTACGCACGAGTAGTCCAGACCAAGGTTGAAAAGAAACAAATTGATCCAAATGAATTTGGAAGATCATAAACCAAATCATGAACAAGGTAAAGTGGCTGTGTTCCACAATTATTTTCTTTTTTTGAGATTCATATCTTCCTCGACAGATAAGGCCTGCTATCTTCGCTTTTATCTTTGCTATTTTTTCAAAATTAGACGACAAAGACCATCCCATTTATAAAAGATTTTTAATTTCACTGAGCACATTCAGTTATATTACCATTACAGCACGAGAGGTCTGTAGACTAATCAAAGGTCTTGACCCTAAGAAAGCCACCAGTGGTTGTCATTAAGAATATCAACCCGGAATTATCCCCAATCCTAGCAAAGTTATTCAACCGCTGTTTGAAGGAGAAATCCTTCCCAGACCTGCGGAAGGTGTCAAGCGTATACCCGGTTTCAAGAACGCGGGCGAGCGATCTTCCTCTTCCCAGTACAGACCCATCAGTCTTCACAGTATCGTCAGTAAGTTTTTTGAGTTCATAATCAATAAGAAGGTTGTCGAGAACCGAGAAAAAACAACCTCTTCACCGAAGAGAAGTATGGGTTTCAGTCGGCCCGATCCACTGACGACGTCCTAACTACCGTCACGTCACAGGCTCTTCTCCATCATAAAATCCTAACAGGTAGTTCTCTGGAGTCCTAGCGGTCACCAGAAAATGTTTCCTTGTGTCGAATTTCTTTTGATCTACATATATGATCTGCCTAAGAATACAATCAAATCATTTGCAAATATCTATGCCGATGATACGACTATATACGTCCGTTTAAAGTCGTATCATCGGCAACACTAAAACACTCGATGTACAGAGAATGGTAACTGATCTCTCTTCCAATTTTGCACATATTACCTCAAGTGGAACTCGTACATACGATCCATTGCTAAAGAGGCAGAAAGAAATGGTCGACTCCCTGTACCACACCAGTAAGTACCTGACTCCTCATGCTATCCTCTACCTTTACAAGAGCCAGACCAGGCCCAAAATGGAGTACTTTTGTCATATTTGGGTGGAAGCTGCCCAGACCTCACTCTCTAACTTTGATAGAGTCCAGAATCCTTTCCGAGTCCTTGTGGGTGACGAATTATTCTCCATCCTTCCACCCTCTCTCTCTACCAGAGGCAGAGGATGTTGCAAGCCTCTCGCTGCTCTGTCGCTATTTCCATGCAAAGTGTTCGGACGAGGCAAACGTTCACAGCAAGAACACGCCATGCTACTTACACTGTAGCAAATCACCCCCATTCCCTCCCTTCTTCCATCGTTGAGAAGTAAGTTCCACTCGAACAGCTTCTTCCCGCGAACTACTGCGCTATGTAGAACAGACTACCAATCTTAAAATGAGGATTAATTTTTTTCAAAATTTGGCTTAACCATTATCTTTCAATTATTATATACATAAATCCCCCCCAACGTATGAATTTACCTCGAGTGATCCCTGGGCCTCGTAAAGAGTGGTCATTACTATAAAAAAATAAATTAAAAAAAAAATGACTAATTTTCTCATTGCACTGTTAAATTCTTGTGTCTGTAATTATTTTGTGTTTATCTATTTTCTCATAAGTTTAATAACGCTGAACCGTGAATTAATTTTATCACTGTATTGTGTCGCTATTCATAATAACAATTCCAGTTCCTTGAGGAGAGGAGGTGACGTCAATTTACTTTTTTTTTCTTTTGGTTTTTTTTTGCGAGGTTTCTTAATGGTTTTAAGTATCTGTGATAGAGTTCTTTTGTTGTTTGTTCCTAGGGTGGCAGTAATTAATACTTAGATGAAAACTTTGGTAAATACTGTGCCATTGGGTCTACGATTTTTAATTATTTTCTCTACTAGATCGAATAGATAGATATGAACAAACTGAAATAGATAGATATGAAAAGAATGAGATATATATATATATATATATATATATATATATATATAAACAGAATGAAATAGATATAAACAAACTGAATAAGATATGAACAGACTGAGAAAGATAGATAGACAGGTGTAAACAGAGACAAATATACATACATAGTGACAGATAGATAGAGATAGTTACGAAAGAAATAGATAGGTAAATAGATATGAACAGATTGAGACAGATAGACGGGCAGACAAACAGATTTGAACAGAATGAGATAGATAGATAGATAGATATTAACAGGCCGAGATAGATAGATAGATAGATAGATAGATAGATAGATAGATAGATAGATAGATCATCATCATCTTGCGGCCTCAGCCGAGATTGAACTCACTAATACTTTGATTAATGTAGTTCATAATCTTGTCAAATAGCTGAATTCCTGATGCTTCGCTAGGGCTATCAAGGGTGTTTTTTTATCGTGACACCATCACTAAATGGATTGCCAACCAAGGCTCAGAGAGACTCCATTCACCCTCATCATAGATAGATAGATAGATAGATAGATAGATAGTTCGGCATACATAAAAATGAACACATTGAGATAGAGATGAACAAACAGATAAATAGATATGAACGAAGGCATTCATACATACAGATAGATAGATAGATAGATAGATATTAAGCTTAGTTTAGTGTCTAATCATGATTGAACTCGCTCTAACGAAACAAGCTTTCTAATCATCGTCCTGATGCATGAGTAACGCACACTTTTCTAGTACTTCTTATCCTCGTCTCAGTGAGTTTACAGAAAAAATTTAATAAAAGTGCAACAGTTGCATGATCAATTATGTAGGTCCTTGCACAACTCAATGAGTTGTTTTCGATGAAGCCCCTAAGTGAATGAAACAAACTCGAATTCGGCTCTTCTCGATTTCTCATTCCAAGTCGCTATCCATTACCTCAACAGCACATCACTTTAGCGCAACGAGCGTTTCAAATTTCGTACCCGTGATTTGGTGTCAGCCGAATGAACCATTCCTTATTTAGGTTTATTTAGGAATGTTACTGGATAAATTTTTAAATGGATATCGCACTTGGGATAAGAAATATCGGAAATTTAATGTCAATCTGATATTTGTCGCTTGAACAATAAAACGGAATAATAATAATAATAATAATAATAATAATAATAATAATAATAATAATAATAAAGAATTAATCGCATGTAAATCAGTAATAATACGTGGTTTTCCTCATAGCTAAGATAGTCATGTATTTTTTCATCGAAACCAGAAAGTCAGTGTTCGAGCCTAGAAGTATTAGGGTTTTGAATGCTGATTTCCCAAGCTAATATTCTTGAGAAAGACATAAATGATATCTCTCTCTGTACGCCAGACTGTTGCCAAATAAACTGAGAAATGCCTCTTTTCTGGTATGACGTCACGATGGTTGCTGAGTGAAAGCCGTTGAATGAATTATTGGTCAAACAACTCTACCTTAAGTGCTTCCCAAGCAGTGATAATTGTTGCATTCATTGCCATGCCTTGACTTGGGTGTGTGCGTGTGTGAAATATTACATTGAATGCTTATGCCAAACATTACAGTAAATAGATGACAATAAAACCTTCATGTTTCAAATGAACTGAGAAGAATACTTCATGCAGTACATTTGCGTGTGAGGATGCTGCCCAAGTCACAAGCAGTAAGGCTAGCCTAGACTTGCCATTTATACTGACAGTGTCTTTAGTTATAATAATAATAATAATAATAATAAGAAGAAGAAGAAGAAGAAGAAGACGACGAAGAAGAAAGAAAGAAAGGAAAGAAGACTGACAAAAAAAGGACTAAGTGGCAATCGATCTGTCTCTATTAACCATATAAACTGACTTGTTCAGCCATAACTTTTAAAGTGAATAACAAATAAACAAGCAAAAGAACTTTAGGACTATAGACACACCCCGAAACGTCATTTTTTTGTCCCAAACCCCAGCAAGGATTTTAGTCAAATTAAAGAGGAAAACGTGGGGTGGGAATTCGAAAGTGACATTTCCACACCCGGCCCTTACACACCTGTATGAAAATCTGGGTTTTCATTGAAGTGCTCTACTTGTTCCCTTGAGTCATCAAAAAAAGACAAAGCTGGAATCATTAGTGTTCTTTGCTCCTTTGAAAGACAAATCAAAAGCTGAAATAGACGAGGAATAAGAAAAAGAAAGAAAAAAGGGGGTTGTTTCTTTCCATTTCTTTCATTCCTTTTACTGTGAAATTTACTCACAATGTCTCTAAATGGCAAGGGTTATTCAGCTTTCTTTCACTCTCTCCTCTCACACACAAATATGTGTATACACGCACACGTGTATATATATATATATATATTTCATTTTTTATTTTATTTTTATATATAATTTATATAACATAATATCTAACATCGTTATAAAATACAAAATATTAGTAGCAAATTCACTAATTTTGGAAGACTAATATTTTATCTCTTCATGCGCAAAATCTTTTAAGACCAGTACGCTTGGCGCAGGGCGAGAGGAACATTGTCTTGTTGAAAAGGATATTGAGTTCAATCCTCACTGTAGGCTTCTCTTATAAGTATCTGGGGGGGTGGCGATTATTATTTATTTGACAAATGTCCCTTTATGTCTGTCGTAGGGGATCATGGCTCTCAACAATTTCATTTTCCATCTGTGAATTGTGTATTCTCATTACTGCTCTTGGGAAAATTAATAGAATGGTTTCCTGTTGATATTGCTACGGTGTTTTTTTTTTCTTTTAATAATTTCACCCTAAACAAGGCAATAAAGCTACCAAGACGCAAAGAGGTGTGGTTACTGAGTGTGGGAAAATATGAGGAAAAAAAAAACATTATTATATTATTAGAGAGAACATAAAAAGAGCAAGAATTATGAAGACGGAAGATAACAACTGACATTGCATTTAAATCTTTGAAGATCAAATTTTAATTGAAAGAAAGAAGCCAGAAGAGAGTTCCACAAGCAAGAAGTGTAATAAAAGAAACTGTTAGCTTAGAGCTTACAGTTATATCTAACCATTTCAATTGTAAAATGATGAGACTTTGTTGCAAATCTAGTACCATGCTTAAATTCATAAAGTCTAGGTACCAGAGAGGAAAGTCCATCAGAACAATTACCGTGAAAGTATTTATAGAAAAGGCACAGGGAAACTATGTTATGGTGGTGGGAAAGTGACTGAAACCTAGATGCCAGGTTAAGACCAATAACATGTTGCGTTCAGAAGTTGTCGTACCAAATCACCTCTCAGTTCTAGTATTTTACGTATAGATAAAAAAAGAAAAGATAAGGACAATAGTGCGAAGTAAACTTAACTGGAATTTGAACTCGGCCTGCCGATTTTATTTCTTATTGCGATAACAGTTTCGTCAGCCGAATTTCGTTAATCTAATCCCATTGAAGAAACAAAGAAAAAATGCAGTTACCTTGAAAGGTAAAACACTGTGTATATCATTATATATGTTTTCTTTTTTTGTTTTGTAAATGCCACGACCCATCAGAATGTAAGGCAATCATGGCTCTCCATAAAATTTAATTTCTTTGAATTACTATGACTTCTCGGGAAAAGTTGTACGGTTTCTCATTGCCTTCTCCAAGGTTTGAATTTGAAGCTTTCCTTCACTTAAATTATCTACCACTTATGTCTACCCTGATATTTAACCCATAGCTAGGGTGTCAAAGAGATGCATTCACGCCTTTCTCAAGGCATTAATATTTTCTGTTATAAAACTAGAAAATATATTCTTCAATTTTGATCGAAGCGCACACATAACTGTTATTAGTTTTAACGAAAGTTGATTAGTTTTATACAAGGCCACGTGTATGGGCCACTTAGTGAGGATAGATCTCCCTTGAGTAGGAATAGACGCATGCATATAAGTCGACAAACATACGCGGTTCTTTGCAAAAGTTACAAGAAACTGAACAGCTGTCACCAACCGAATGCTGTACAGGTTTTTGTCGTTACCCTTTATGAGCAGGACCTTTTTGAGTCAGTGTGCAAGCAGCAATCAAAAGATTATTTCGAAGGAGATGGTAGAAACTGGTTAGCAAAAAGACTCTAGGATATCATCTAAAATTGATAAGAAACCTCTTTTTTCGTAGTTAAGAAAATAAAGATTTGGTCAAATGTTGTTTTACTGTAATTTCACACGGCTTCCCTTTCTATTGAACAGGAGTAGAGGTCTATCCCTTGTTTGCTGTTTAGAATTGGGTTTCCTGTTTCTTCTAACGTTCTGTCATTCTTTTTCACTCTCAGTGACCCTCTTGCGTCTTAGTGCGATTATCGCCTTACTTGAGATAAAATTAAAAAAAAAACACACACACACACAATTTCTTGAATTTAGAATTTAATATTTTAAATTTCATTATCTTTTAGAAATATGGCAGTTTTAATTAATTCATTATTTTCCCGACGATGCATTTTGATAAGGAAGGGAGGATCATCCCTGTCACGACCCAGCATCATCAATTAGAATTCAACTGTCCCCTCGTTACCATCCTCAGCTCACCTGAGAAGTCTTGCTGAGTCTCTTCTGTGAGAGGAAATGTTTTGTTAAAATGATATTTTATATTGTTTATCATTTTAATCTCTGCAAAAATGTAAAATCAGTGCATTTTCATCAACGTCATCTGCCTGCTTCATTTTACTGTTAAAAGTCGAAAATATCTTTCAGGCTTTTCACATCTTTTACTTCACCATTATGTTATTTTAGTAAAATTATTTTTCAACTTGAATTTTAAATTTAATTTTTTAAAATTCATTTTTTGTATGGCATTATAAATTTAATTTTATTAATTTATTTTCCTCGTAAGAACTTAACCAAATGTATGTCTATTAACTTTGAAAAATAATTGTTATTGAAAATTAACTATAATCGGGAGAAAAACTTCTTTTTTTCTTCTTCTCTGTGTCGTATTCCTTCAGGACATTGGTAATTATGGCTTTCCACACTTCCTGCCATTTTTATCTTTTAATAAATTTTGTTTTTTGGCCATATCTCCCAAATCATTCACCCAAACTTGGGAGGTAGATTATGCGTTTGTTCTCCCCTGTCTTTCTTGCTTTCAATCTTTCCTGGAGTATTAAATTTTCCAAACCCTCTTTGATCATTGTGTGCTCTAGAAATTTCAACTGTTTCTTTCTTATGTTAAATATGTGTCCTTTTTGTTGCCATTGTCTCTAGAATTCCGTCGTTGCTCACATGTTCGACTGAATGAAAAGAACATTTCAAAAATCATTCCTAAAATTAATTCCAGCCAATCTTTCCGTTCTCTTCCCGATATTAGAAAGCCTTTCACAGTGAATAATTTTGACATCTACTTTTTTTTCCTTTACTGCTCCTTCTACAAGTCGTTCTGCCATTTCTAACAATACTTCATTTGCCAATTTCTTATTGATAGAAGAAGGTTAATTCTGGCACTTTCTCCCCAAAATGACGACATCTCATCCACGTTAAAATATCTGTGGAGCTAAATATTTTCCCTCTACAATTAGTTTATCTAATTCTTCAATAAAAGTTTCAGCTGTCTTCACAGTCTTACAACTTAACACTTTAAAACGAATAACATTGTAGAAAACGCTGAAATTATACGCTGGTAGCATTAAATTGCATGTCACTGTCAAGTGTTGCTATAGCTTTCAGCAATCTTTAAGAAGTCATGCGCTTTTGCTGGTGATCATCTGACTTAAGGGGGGGATCGATTTTTAATTCTAATCTTCTCTCCATGCTGCAAGCAACTTCTCCATATCAACTTTAGCCGTATCTTGCTAATTTGTTTTCTTTCACAGGTTTCATTGGTTTAACTTCTTTAACATTTCTTGATACAGACTTTGATAAAACGAGACTAACAATAATTGAGTAATATTTTAAAAAAGTACAAGATGAGACAGCCCAAGATATGGACAGTGGGACAAGAACAACTTCCTCTCGTCAATTAAATAAAAGGTTCTGTTCAAATTAAACAAAAAGTTACCCGGATTGAAGAAGACCGG